TTGGCCTCCCAGTGCTGCGACCAGCTGGACCTCTGGGCCTTTGTACATGCAGTTACTCCTTTCACCAGTCACTGCCTGCCTCCCAGTCTCCATCACCCTTCCCAGGAAGCATGTCCAGGCACGCGTGGGTCCACCGGCACCTCATCACAGACACCACCAAGGCCCCTGAATCCTGTTGGACCAGTGGCTCCTGCCTCAGCACCTCCCCAAGATCTCCCTTTCCCCCTCTGAACGTACCCCCTGCACACCCTACAAATGATGGGGCCAGGGACAGTCACCCCTGCGGGCAGCTTGTCAGAAATCCCCAAGTGGGGGAGGATTGGTAGCACAGCGGAGAAGGCATTTGCCTTGCATGTGGCCGATCCGGGTTCGATCCTCGGCATCCCATAGGGTCCTCCCGAGCACAGCCAGGAGTAATACCTGAGTGCAGAGCCAGGAGGTAGCCCTGAGCATCACCGGGAGTGGCCTCAAAAGCCAATTTAAATAAATATTTAAAAAAAAAAAAACCAAGGATGCGGACCTTGAGCCAAGAAATACCTTAGCATCTTTCTCATTGCATTGGGGTGAAGAGGTTAAGATGCTGCAAGAAATGAGGGGGCACTGGGCGGGGGGGGGAGGCTTGGCAACTGTGGCAGAGGCCGTGCTGTGCGTACCTGGGCCTTATCTCATTCCTCTGTGCCGTCTGCATTTGAAAATCTCCGTGAAAGAAAATCTTTCTTAAGAGATGCCCAGCAAGGGCTGGGGAGCCAGGAAGGGCATTTCTGGTGCAGGAGATTCAGTGTCCTTTCGTGGCCACGCTGCAGTTCCCCCGGGAACCCTGCTCCCAGCTCAGGGCTCCGCGTCGGCTCTGGATGGGGCTCAGGGAACCATTCAGGGCCCAAGATGGACCTCGGGCTCGTGCATGCGTGCAAAGCCCATGCCAGCCCTTTGGGCCATGTCCCGGCCCTGAGGAAGGTATTGGGGGGAGCAGCCGGAGTGGCTCTGAGGTGCAGCTCTGGGCGGAAGCTCCCCAGGGCCTCTGTGTGGTGATTCTGGGCATGTGTGTGCCAGGGCCCTCCCTGCCTCAACCCTCCCACCGCCTCCAGAGCTTCTAGGGCACCTACTTCAACTTCTTTTATATTTCCTTATTTATTTTTTTTTAATTAAAGAACTTGTGATTTACAAGTGTCCATCTCATGCCTGGCCTCCCAGGGTCCCTGTCTCTCTGGCTGCACTCCCAGTGTTGCCGGCACCATCTCTCCCTCTCTCTCCCTCTCTGAACACACTGTCTGCCCTGCTCGGGTCCTTCCCTGTGGCCTCTTCCTGACCCCGCACCTCTGCATTGTCCCTTCCTCATCATCCCTTCCTGTCTCTGCCCTGCCCTTCCTGTCTCTCTGCACTGTCCCTTCCTGTCTCTCTGCACTGTCTCTTCCTGTCTCTGCAGTGTCTTTTCCTGTCTGCCCTGTCCCTTCCTGTCTCTCTGCACTGTCCCTTCCTGTCTCTCTGCACTGTCCCTTCCTGTCTCTGCCCTGTCCCTTCCTGTCTCTCTGCACTGTCCCTTCCTGTGTCTGCACTGTTCCTTACTGTCTCTGCACTGTCCCTTCCTGTCTCTTCCCCCACCCCAGCAGTCACTCTCTACCTGTCCCCTGTTTTTTGTCTCTGTCACTTTCCTTCTGGCTCTCTCCCTCGGGATGCCTCTCAGCTGAAAACGGGGAGGGGGGAATCTGTGCCTCTGCCTCCCCATGACCCCTCATCTCCGCCCCCACAGCAGGCCCTGGTTCTGGGGTGGGGGACCCCCGGGCCCCATCTGGGTGGCAGTGCTGACAGAAGAGATAGAATCGAACTGGGCCCTGTCCAGGCCTGAGCAGGGGTACCGCCAGGCTCTGCGGGGGAGTCTGGGCGCAGGAGCGGATGATGCCTGGGCTCCCCGCGAGGGGGGAGCGGGGGTGGGGTGGGGGGTGGGGTCTCGGGGTGTCTGTCAGATGCATTTGCCAGCGCCTGGGCCTGTTTACGTCTGTCTGTGAGCGTGTGTGCATGTGTGTGTGTGCCTTTGTGTGAGGCTGTCTGGGGCGAGCCCCATTGCCTGAGGTCCCCGTGTGTGTCTGCGGACCTGTCTGGGGTGCAGCCGTCTGGCTGTCCAGGGGCCAGCCCGCCATGTGCATTGTCTCAGCAAGTGCAGATCCTATCTGGCAGGGAGGGGAATGGAGGCTCTCAGGGGAACCCCCACGCCCCCCGACTTTGCTGTGTGGCTCCGGGTCCGTGGGTGCTGGTGGGACACATCCTGGCTCCCCCACTCCAGACTCCCGACCCTGGGCAAGTTGGACCAATCCTGAATTCGTTGGGCAAAAATGCATTGATCAAGATGAAGTGAATCTACGGAACCTGAAGTCAGAGCAGGAGCTCCCCAGGAGGGGAAGAGGGCAAGGGGCCCACGGAAGACTTTGGAGGGACTCAGCGGCTCCTGGATCGGGATGGGTGAATCCTCCAGGCGGAGCTGACTGAAATTATTTGTCTCCACCCAGGACTTGGCAGGCAGCGTTGCTTGGCAAATGTTTCCCGACGTCTGGCCACTTGCGTAGTATCTATGCAAGGGAAGACCCCTGGGGGTTTTGTGGGATTGACAAATCGGAAAGGGGGTCAGTGCAGACTGTGGACCCCATGCATGTCTCCCTCTCCCCCTCCACCCTGTGGACACCCCAGCGGCAGGCAGGGACAGAGACCCATGGTGCCTGCCCACCTATCCTGGCCGCATTGTTCCATGCCCAACCTGGGCTGGCTACTTCTTCTTGCAGGTTCTGTCCCTCCCTCTGGGGCTCCAAAGGGCTGAGCCACTGGGACGAGGGAGAGCATTTTTTTTCCTGGAGCTTGACCTCCAGGAAGCACGTCAGAGCACACTGTCTCGGGACTGGCTGAATGTAAAGGCAGCAAGGTGCCCACTGGAGGGGCCAGCAGGAAGCTGGGATGCAGGCTTTGAAGAAAGGAGGCCTGGCTTCCATCTCTGGCACCCTGAGATCCCCCAAACACTGCCAGCAGTGACCCCCCCCCACATACATACAAGCACTGTGTTGGATGTAGACACCCCCACCCTCAAAGATGCCCAATGAATAGACTCCACCTTTGCCACAGGTGGTCAGCCATAATAAGCAAAGCCTGGATCCACCTCTTCCTGCTCTCCACCTCGTGGGACATCTGTCACTTACTAAAATCTGCTGAGCCCACTCATTTGTGAAATATAAAATAACATAATATGAGACTATCACCCGAGGACAGCAGACACAAAGGCAGGAATATTGCTCCACAGTTGGAAGCTTGTCTCATGACAGGCTGGGGGAGAAGGCAGCTGGGATAGAGAAGGGATCACTAAGACAATGATGGTTGGAGGGATCGTTCGGGATGGGAGATGTGTGCTGAAAGTAGACAAAGGACCAAACGTGATAGCCTCTCAGTATCTGTATTGCAAACCATAATGCCCAAAAGGAGAGAGAGAGAGACAGTATGGGGGAAATTGTCTGCCATGGAGGCAGGGGGAGGGGTGAAGGGAACAGGAGGGATGCTGGGGACATTGGTGGTGGAAAATGTGCCCTGGTGGAGGAATGGGTGTTCTATCATTGTATGACTGAGACTCAATCATGAAAGCTTTGTAACTGTAGCTCACAGTGATTTGATAAAAAAATAAAATAAAATAAAATCTGCTGAGCCTCTGATCCACAGTGGGCCTGTCCCATCCTACCACCGCTCTGTGCCCACCCTCTGTCAGTGAAGAGCATCCTCTTCATGTTCCAGCAGAGGAAAGGGAGACCCAGTGAGGGAGGAAGTGCCTAGAGCGTGAGTGGCAGGTGAAGCCAAGCTGCAGTACGCTGGCCTCTACAGTACGCTGGCCTCTATAGTACGCTGGCCTCTACAGTCGGCTCTGGCTCTCTGCAGTCACCTGAAGCTTCGGGAAAGGAATCGAGCTCGTTGGCTCTTGTCCCTCCTGCGGATGAGACTTTGGTGTCACCTCTCAGGAACTGGAATGTACAGAGCCTTTTTGGTGACCTTTTGCCTTCATTCCCCCAAGGGGAAAGGTCCCTCACCACCTGGCACAACGTCCAGGCCCCCCGAGCAGTGCGGAAAAGGTGAGGGTCATGGTTTTTGACCTTTGCATCACAGGTACCCTGCACGGCCTGCTTACCGAATATTTGAGTGCATGAATGCATGAATGAACGAATGCTCTGCACTCTGCATATCCTGTTAGGATGCGCCCTTGCGGAACAGCTCGAGATAGGCTGAGAGCATGCATGACAGGTTTCCCTACCCAGCACATGATTCCCGAGTGCTCCTAGGAGCGATCAGAAGGAAGAAAAAACTAGGGTCAGGAAGACTGTTCAGATTAGGCGCTTCCCACAGGGCCAACCCTGGTTCAATCCCTGGCACTGCATGTGGTCTCTGAGCCCTGCCCAGAGTGATCCTTGAGCACAAAGCCAGAATCAGCCCTGTGCGCAGCCAGGCATGGTCCAAGGCCGCACCCGACCCTCTTGTTGGTCTCTGTCTTCCCTCTCAAGCCCTGGGGCAAGGACTAGGTGTATTTCGTCTCTGGAGCTTGACAACCAGCCCAAAGCCTGCATAGACGAGGACCCCGTGGACAGTATCATCGGTACGTATTTGTAAATTAATAGGTGGTAGACAGAAACAAGATCTAGGATTTCATTTTTTGGTGCCCGATCAAATCCCAGGGTCTCACACATGCAAGGCAAGTGCTTTGCCACTGAGCACCCCCCCCCCCCCCCCGGCCCTGAACACTGACTAAAGTTCTAAGAATTCCATGCCAGGGGCCAGAGAGATAGTACAGTAGGTACAACACTTGCCGTGCACATGGTAACCCAGGGTTGGATCTCTGGCATCACATATGATGCCCTGAAGAACGTCAAGAGTGATCCCTGAGCACTTAGCGAGGAGTCATCTCTGAGCACTGCCAGTGTGACCCCAAAACAAACAAAAAAGAATTTCATACGTGACAAAATGGCAGAAGCACCAACTTAGTTTCAATAAGTGGTTTTATTACTGGTTAGATTTTACAAATTCTGATATTCGAACAGACTTCCACCTTAAAATTCTAAAACAACAAAGCGACCGTTGGAGGGGGTTGATTTTTTTTTTCTTTTTTCTTTTTAGGACTATTCAAAGTAACAAACTTTTTTTTTCTTTTTTTTTTCTTTTTCTTTTTTTTACATTTTTGCTCTGGTCATAAATATACAGAGAGAAAAAGAGGGAGAGAAAAAAATGAACAAGTCATCCAAAGTATGGAGACAGAACAGTATTCCTAAGGCACGTGGCAGTCTTTGAAAATACAGAAGCTCCAGCCAACTTAAATGCTTGTTGTTGTTGCTGTTGTTGTTGTTTTTCCTCGCTCAGTCCACAAAACTGTACAGGGACACAAATGTTGTGTTGCCAAAGATCTTCCAAGTAACTCCTTGGGCGGCGCCACTGGGCAAACCGGATACACGATTCTTTCCTTCCTGTTTCCAGGCGAGATCCTAAATGTGGTTAGTTAGTTGCTCAAAGCCTCTATTTTTAAAATACACTTGGAATTCAACTAAAGATAATTTCTTTTTTAAAGAAATTGGGGCGGAGGGCAGGGCCGGGGGGGTCGGGGGGGATAGGCGGTTGCGAGTCATTAGAAAAGGTTGGTCAGAGTCGTTTGGGAGGGGCTGTGGGGCTCGTGGGCCTCCAGGTTGCCAGGCACGGAAGTTAAGACAGACGTCACAGTTGGCAGAGTGGGGCTAGTCAAGTCTGTGAGGGTGGTGGGCGTGCTGGAGGGGCTGAGCGAGGCGTTGGAGAGCTCCGAGGCGGGACCCGACGGCGTCCCCGACTGCAGCGCTGCCTCCGTGGATTTGTCCACGCCCGTGTTTTCCTGCCGTAAGAGGTTGCGCCTGAATTTGGCCCGGGCGTTCTGGAACCAAACCTGCATGGGGAGAGAGAGAGAGAGAAAGAGAGAAGGGCAGGTTAGGGTTTGGGGACATCTCCTAACCCCACTCATGGGTACACCCGGAGGGGAGACGACGGTTTTGGGCGAGAGATGCTTGACTCTTGTTTTCTTGTTTGTTTTTTTTTATTTTATTTTAGGGCTATACCCGGTGATGCTCAAGGGCTACTCCTGGCTCTGCATTTAAGTATTACTCCTGGCAAGCTGGTAGGAATCATATGGGATGCTAGGGATCGAACCCAGGTCGGCCACGTACAAGGCGAGCTCCCTCCCCGCTGTGCTATCTCTCTGACATCCCCAGTGTTTGGTTCTTTTTTTTTGGGGGGGGGGTCACACCCAGTGATGCATAGGGGTTACTCCTGGCTCATGCATTCAGGAATTACTCCTGGCGGTGCTCAGGGGACCATATGGGATGCTGGGAATCGAACCTGGGTCAGCTGCATGCAAGGCAAATGCCCTACCCATTGCGCTATCGCTCCAGCCCCAATGTTTGGTTTTTAAGGAAATAAAGATGCTGTTTCCAAGCATGGACCCCCGAGTGGGTTTGCCTCGCTCCCGGAGACTCCAGCCAGAGCCACAGGCATCAGTGTTGGAGCCACGAGCTCTGTGCGTGGTATTCTGGAGCCCTGGTGATGTGCTCAGTGCAAGCGCCTGGGGGTGAAAGCACAACCACTCCAAAGACTGGCTGTGAGCAGGAAGAAACTTCTAGCTCCCCATCTGCATCTGGTGACACACTGAGATGGTCCTGGTTTGGACAGACTGGGATTGGGGGGCCACATTCCCAGTGGTGTACAGTCAAGGGACTATGAGGGACAGACATCAAGCCCAGGCCTCCTGATGGGCTGCTCTCTGATGCAAAAAAAGATTCTTAAAATTCATCTTCACCTGGACCAGAAATGTGGCTTGGCAGTAGAGTGCTTGCATCAGGCATGAGGGTTAATAGCCAGAAATGCAAAAAAAAAAAAAAAAAAAAAAAAAAAGTGGGTGGTTTGAACATTGTGGGGGAGGTTGAGGGCCACACCCAGCAATGCTCAGGGATTACACCTGCCAGGCATTGGGGACCATATGGGATGCCAGGGATGGATCCTGAGTCAGCCACATGCAAGGCCAGTGCCCTCCTCACAGAACTGTAAATGATTTCAATATTTATCTTACCAGTTGCTTTTTATTTTTTTTTTAATGTGGCTACTGGAAAGTTGTCCATGTAAAATGTGACTCACATCAATTTCTTTTTCTTTTTCTGGCCTACTTCTGCTGAAAACCACACCCAGCACTGCTGGGGGGGGGGGGGGCAGGGGTGTGGTTCTGGGGCGCAAACCCCAGGCCTCAGGCACGCAAAGTCTGGGCTCTCAGGCTTGCACCACACATCCCAGGCCCCTTCATGTTACATTTCAATTTTTTTTTAATTTTTAGATTTAATGTCTCTAACATTGTATTTCCACAAACATAAGAAATGCTTGCGTGGAAATGCATGGAAACAGGAGAATTATAAAAGTCTCTGCTATAAAAATATGATGACAAAAATTATGTGAACATTTAAAATAAAGGGGCTGGAAAGATAGTTCAGCAGGTCAGGCACTTGCCTTGCAGGTAGCTGACCTGGGTTAGATTGCTAAACTCCACCAGGAGGAATCCCTGAGTTCAGACCCAGAAATAATCCTGAACACTGCTGGGTGTGGCCCCAAAGCCAAATAAATGTAAATCAATATAATCAAGTGTATATATACAAAAGAGTACAAGGGTTGGTACAGCAGGTGAGGCACATGCCTGGCATGCAGCTGTCTCTGGTTCAGTCACCAGCACTGCACCTCGTCCCCTGAGCAGCACTAGGAGTGACCCTGAGCACAGAGGCAAGAATAGTCCCTGAGCATCGCTGGATGTTGCCCCAATAAGTTTCCCAATAAAATTAATCACTGTATTACTGCATCACTGTCATCCCACTGTTCAGCTAGTTGCTCAAGTGGATGCCAGTAATGTCTCCATTCGTCCCAGCCCTGAGATTTTAGCAGCCTCTACTTACTTAACCTTCCCAACGGTGCCGCATTGGGGCTCTTTCAGGGCCAGGGGAATGAAACCCATTATTGTTACTGTATTTGGCATATCGAATATGCCACCGGGAGCTTGCCAGGCTCTGCCGTGCAGGCAGGATACTCTAGGTAGCTTGCCAGGTTCCCTGAGAGGGAGAACTAGACTACAAGAGGGGCCCTGGTGAAGACAGCCAGGCTCAGGGGCACGAGACTCCGCATTGCTCTCCTCTGGGAGCTTTGTTTTAGAGTCTCTGCGGGGAGGTCTTCGGCTGCCAGGTTGAGTTTCCCTCCCCACCCTGAGCAGAGCCCCAGCAGCTGAAGACCTCCAGAACCCAGCCACAGCCATGCTCAAGGCCACTCTCCACACCCTCGGACGAGCTTCATGCATGAAGGAACCGGCAGAGGAACCCAGGTGTGCGGGACCCGGGGCTGAGATCTCCATGCCTGCTCGGATCAGGACTGGGCCTCCTTCACCCAGATCCCCCATTTTCCAGTAGCTAGACAGTTACACCTACCAACTGCCCCCGGCACCATGTAATCCCATCAATGGCCAAGATCCAGAGACTATAAATATAATAAAATTAATAAAATACAGGGATGGAGCTATAGCACAGCGAGTAGGGCATTTGCCTTGCACTCTGCCAACCTGGACGACCCAGGTTCGATTCCTCCACCCCTCTTAGAGAACCCGGCAAGCTACCAAGAGTATCTCGCCTGCACGGCAAAGCCTGGCAAGCTACCCAGGTATTCAATATGCCAAACACAGTAACAAGTATCACAATGGAGACGTTACTGGGCCCGCTCAAGCAAATCGATGAACAGGAGGACAGTGCTACAGTGCTAATAAAATATAAAATGAGGGGCCAGAGTGATAGTACAGTGGAGAGGGTATTTGCCTTGCACGTGGCCGACCCGGCTGACCTGGATTCAATCCTGGGCATCCATATGGTGCCTCACCCCACCAGGAGTGATTCCTGAGTGCAGAGCCAGGAGGAATCCCTGAGTATTACAGGGTGTGACCCAAAAAGGAAAAAAAATTAAATTAAAATGAAAAAATAAAATGAATATAAGTTTTTAAAAAATGTTTATGTTGCACTTCTATAGATTGTGCAGTGCCAGAAAACATGCACAAACCAAATCCTCATCATTTTTAATGAACGTTGACAGATTCATTTTTCTCTGCAGTTGCCTTTAAGCAGACAACAGATCCCAGAAGTTCCTGTCGTGTCATTATGACAGTGTTTTGTTTCTGGTATTTCCGGTATTTCTGGGAGATACTAGAGTGATGTGAGGAACACACTGGAATCTGTGGAGTTACGAAGAGGAAGGAGATACAGATCCCACTCCCGGTCCCTGTGGGATGGAGAAGCCATCGGGGACCAGAAGTGCCGGGAGTCAGAGTCAGGGCGGACAGAGCAGGAAGAGGCCCTGGTGGGGTGCCCTGCAGATTCCCTGTCCCGAGGGCCTGTCCCAGGCATTAGGGGGCCGCTGGTGCTATTAGAACCGAGCTCGTGTAGAAAGAACCCCGAGGACAGAGTCAGGGCTTAGTTTCATTTTCCCTACGGGGCGCGCGCGCGCACACACACACACACACACACGCACGCACGCACGCACGCACACACACACTACGCACACACGCACACACATGCACACACACTAAAACGCACACACGCACACACACACACACATACACACACATCCCACGCTTGAGCCCGCATGTACATGTGAAGTCACCAGGAAAACTATCCTGCCTGGCCCCCAGGGCCCCAAAATGAGCAGCCACTGGGAATGGCTGCATCTGGAGGTCCTTGAAGGGCTTTGGAGCAAGGCTAAGAAATCCAGGCTTCTTCACACACTGAGAGGGGGATGTGTACCCCAACACAACACGCTCACGTGGGGGATGCAAGTCCCCCCACCCCCACGTCCCTCTCCGTGATGAAGACAGCGGCCACATCTTCCTGTAAAACTGAGGACCGCGGGGCAGGCTTGACCTGGGGCTGCCCAGCTGCACACTTCCAGATGTGTGTGTCTTGTGTCTTCCCAGCAGTCTCGGTCAGGGTAGGGGTGCTGACTCCAAGGCCCACCCTCCCCTGGGGACCACGCCTCTCCCCTCCCGGCTCCCGGAGCTTATGACCGCAAACTTGTCTTTTCTCCAGGTCTGAGACAATGTGGGTCTAACTGACAGAATCAGGGGCATATAAGGACCCTGTAAGGGAAATGAAGCACACCTCCCACCCCCTACCCCAGTGCACCCTCTCTTGCATGGAAGACAGAGTATATTCTCTGGCTTGAGGCCAAGGCCCATCCAGGACCTCTTCAGGTCCTGGCAAAAGTTTTTTGATTTCAGGTCTGCGCAATAGCACAGTGGGTATAGGGTGTTTGTCTTGCACGTGGCCAACCCAGGTTTGATCCTTGGCATCCCATATGGTCCCCGAGCACCACCAGAAGTAATTCTTAGTGCAGAGCCAGGAGTAACCTCTGAGCATCGCCAGGTGTGATCCAAGCAAAAAAAAGTTTTTGATTTCTAAGCCCACCCTCCATGTCCTCTTCCTGAAGTGGGGGGAAAAGAGGGTGCCCACCCCTCATCTGCAAAAATCTAGAGGAAGGGCATCTCTGTCCATGGACCCAAGGAACGGCAGATGGAGAAAAGCAATGGCAACACCCTTAAGGCCCTTGGAGGGAGGAAGCAACTGGCCATGGAGGGAGACTCGAGTTTCGGGTCCCTTTTGACAGGGCCCCCAGCCTCAGCCTCAGGGTCTGACTGTCCAGAGTGGCTGGAGTTGGGGGCCCGCGGGAAAGGGCCTGGAAGCAGTCACCTGCCACTGGATTTCCCTGGTACAATGACACTTTGTAAACCATGACACCATCATCGAGAGAGTGAGAACCAGCCACCGGCCCAACCCCCCGGCTGCTGGGGTGGTGTCGGACCTCACCCCAGCTTTCCACCTTTCC